AAAAAATCATTTTATTGGGGGTTTGTACAAATCTAATCACAGTCCATACATACATTGTGTCAAGCACATTTGTATATATGTTGCTATCATCACTTTCAAAACATTTTCTTTCTACTTGAGCCCTTGGTATCAGCTCATTTTTTCCCCTCCCAGAACAAAGTTCTAATATATAAACTTTTTGAAATCTTAAATACAACAGAAACAAAAAGCATGGCATTCTAGAAAATTACAGACCTTTAGCTCCTCTAACTTTAGTTTTAACCAGTTATAAAAAATTTTTTTCCAAAACATTAATTTCCCCATTTTCATGATCAATAACCATATATTAAATGTTAAGGCATCAAATTGATGGTACTGTGATCCTGTCGAGTAAGTGTTTGACAGCTAAATTCAAGGTTTAGAACCATAAGCAACTCTGTGGAAGAAAGATGAGAAAATGTGCTTCTATAAAGATTTTTAGCCTTGGAAAAAGTATTGATGTTATCAATGCAATTGCCTTATACCCCAGGGGGATGAATGATAATGCTTTTCTTGTTTCTTTGGATTTTTGTTGTTCTGCCATTTGTTTGCTTTTCTGCCATGTTTGTTTTTGTTGCTGGTTGGTTTGGTGCTGTTGTTGTAGTTGGACTTATGGGGTTTTGATTTTGTCATAATACGACTGCCAAAGTAAACCAGAGTTGTGCAGATGGAGAAGCAGATGGATTCTGGACTGCCACTTAGCTCCAGCCCCAAGCCAAGAACAATTAGTTCTTGTAACATGGCCCTGGTCGATACTCACCATCATGAAATGATCACTGAAGATAAGGGTGCTACAGCAAAGTGTGGTAAAGAAAGCAGATGGTGCCTAGCTATCAATCAGAATAGTGCCTGCGGTCTTAAAAGGCTGTACTCGAACAAGCAGCCTTCTAAGTGAGATGTCAACTAAGTCCCAATGGAAGAAGCACACCAGTTTGTGTGATCCAAAGATAACAATAACAAAATCCAAAAATGATGAAGGGAAAAGTATCAGAGCTTAAATTATGAATATCCAATTTGTAGAAGGCTATGGAGGACAGTGGGAGCTCAAAAATCTATCTGCAGAGTATCTAGTTAAATTAAGACTCTGGCAGATCCCCTCTAACCACAGGCAAGGGTCTTGAACAACTTTACTATCAGACAGAGAACATTGTAAACTTGATTATGCTGGATCAAACTTGATACTTGGTCAGTTGACCTCCCTCTTGACACAAGCTGAATTTACTCCAGGCTCAAGTATTTCTTGCTTGTTCCAGGACAAAATGTCCTCCCTGGCTTTTAAAATATTGATAGTGGTCTTTTCTTTCTTACTCATTATTTGTATTTTTATTATTTTATTCTCACCACCTTGTTTTTTATTGTTTCTGTTGGGTTTCCTGGTTTGTGAAGCATAGGAGTAGATACATCAAGATAATAACTGATGTAATGGTTTATCA